GTGGATCAGAAGAATCCTTGAATTAGCTTCTGTAAAATGAAGGATTTTGTGTAAGACTGCATCTTGGGAATCTCTCATTCAATTTTCCCAAATACATATCATATACTATCTAGTATTCTCTAAATGGAAAGTAGTTTTCAGGCAAATGCAAGTGGGTAAACTTCATGGCAATTGGAATAACCTGTCTTTAAACAAACCAATATTCACTCTCACTTTCCCCCAAACGTGTTCTCTGCTACAAGGCCCTAGAACCACAGAGCAGGCAAACTCTCATTTTTCAGTTTCATATACTAACATGAAAGTATTTGCTATAAATTTCCCATGTTGCTTTATTTCCTCTATATCTACTTCACACTTCTCAAAAATGAGCACATTTGACTATGTGTGTAGCTCTTCCCTAAAACTTCATTGCTGAACACCACTATGCTGATCTCTGATTCCCATATGCAACAAGCAGTGATGTATACAGTTAGCTATACCTCTAGTTACACTATTTTATGGCAGCCAGAGATTTAAATTTAGCAATCCATGCTTCTGTCTCCTTCAGGCTAAAATTCTGTTGCATGCACAAACTGTGGCTTGCTCTGAGGGTCATCAAGAATGTAAGATTAGGAGAAACAGCCAGCCAGCTATCTTCTAAGCATAGATGAATGACAAAATCGTATCACTATTGCATTTTAAACCAGTGTTTGCTAACAATTCCAGAGAGTTGTAAGGTTTAATTTACAAATTAAAGAGTAAACATGTTTCTTCTGACGAGGAAAAAGAAGTAAAAACAAACAATAATGCTGTAGGCATCATTGTTGTCTGAGCTATCATTTTGACATCCAAAGACCAGGCAGGGTATGCTCTGGGATGGCTCAAACACTCATCCTAGATAAATCATGACAAGGAACTTTACTGTGTCAAAAGGAAACTTTGGTTTGATTCCTATTACCATTTAATAACATAGAATGATTTTATTTACAAAAATGCTTCCCTTCGAAATGAAGGAATCAATGTATGCCTTAAAATTGGCTTTAAAATTGACTGACCTGTGGGACAAGAACCCCATTCTAATGACAGTAAGACCTTTGCATTAATTGTAATAATGAAATCTTTTAAACGCAGCAGTGCTTTTAAAAGCATAAATTTATGTTAGTTAGTATAACAGTTTTATGTAAAATATTCTGATATCTGCATACATTCATGATGATTAAAATGTCACACAGAACTATTAGGAGCATCAGACCTCTGTAGTGTAGTTTTTTCCTGTAACCAATAAGAAAGTTGTTCTTAGCACTTTCTAAATAATTTTTTGGATTAAAAAAATGCAAAAAGGTCAACCCATGCAAAGATTGAACAGCCACAGACAGTAGGTCTTAACAAGGAGCCCCAACTAAATCAAAATATCAGGACTATTTCCAAGCAGGAATAATCGATATTTTGGTGGTTAATTATGTCTATATAATTATAGAACAAACCATGAGAAACAGCAGATTGCATATGATGAGAAGCATAAGGACACACGTAACATAAATCTGAAGCAGAAAAATAATGATTAATGTATTGACTTACTGCTGTTATTTATAATCAAACAGGAACAGTAACTCCACAATCTACAAAAAGAGTAATTACTGCAGAAGTTTCTCTCACTACAGATTAATATGCGTTTCTAAGACAGACTAACCAAATGCTAGTTTGAGACAGTGTATATCAGTAACAAAGATAATCACAGAAAAACTACAGATGTATCGTGGAGCTTCTATATCAGTCTTATATTAAATCCAGGAAAAACATTCATGAAATAATAATTGATCTGTCCCAAAATTGTTGACAAACAATAAAGAGAACATACTGCAGAGTCTCTACATGACACATAGTTTGCTGCCATTAACTGTCCTCTCAACACTGGTCACTGCTGTTCTACAAGAGGAAGCTCTTCCTATGCAGTAAAGCCAGCCTCTCCATACTCTGAATATGCAGCTCTGCATCTATCACATTAGCACGTCCTTGCAATAAATATTGCAGAAGTCTGGCCTGCTTTAATATTCATTATTAGGGTTACCTAAATATACAAACTGGAGTTTTTTCAGTCTACATACACTTATTCATAACGGATGTCTTTATTTTAAGGTAAAGATGATTACTAACCTTCCTGACTGCTCCCTCCAGCACCAAAAGAATCACTTAATTCTAACATCCAATAGGTGATATAATTGCAGAAAAACTACACTAATGTGAGTGTGGACATGTCCTTTTTATTCCATCCTCCTGCCTTTTTCAAGAGGTTTTCAAACACAGAAGTAACTATTTGAACTTGCTGGGAATGCTGATTACACAACTTCCCCACTTACCATCTATAAACCCATTAACTTGCATCTGATTAAAACACATTCTTTAAAAGGCATCTAATCCTAAATGGAAAGGATGAAGATAAGGAATTCAGCATCTTCGTGGCAGTTTGTGCCAACAGCCATCCCCCACTGCTGAGAACAGCATGTCCTAGATCTTACAGATTCAACTCTTTTTACTTTGATGGAAATTTTTTTTAACGAAGTAAAGAAATTGATTTAAGTCTATCACTGTAAGATATTTTCTCCATCTGTTACCGATATTGACTGTATCTCTTCTGCACTTGTTAGTATTTCAAGATACTTTTAAAAACAGAACTGGATATTACATTCAGCTATCAGTTTCACGAACAACATTCCCCCCCTTGTCTTCATTGTAAACTGACCAAAGTAATGGTAGGGATTTATTACACACACACATATTTATCAGTTTGTCATTGTCTTAGACATTTATCTAGAATTTCTTGTCAGAATTAGTTTTCTAGGAATTTAGAGGTTTTAGAGGACTTGTTTGTCTCCCTGAAATAAGAACCACCTAAACATCCTAAAAAACCCGCAAATTATAAAGCAATGCAGATCATTTGTCCTCTTTACCAATGATTTGTCACACAATCCAAATGTCACACACTCATTAGTAGTTTCACAGTTGTTCACAGATTGTTATTAAAAATATTTATCATCTTCAGGCTTGTAACTATTTCCTCTTTCCAAAGTGAAGCATCATTAATAACTGCACCTGGAAGTTTGCTTGAAGCAATTTAAAGTTACATCATACAGCATTATTTTTTAAAAATCTGATTGTAGCATGAAGTTGCATAATGACAAATGTCCTTCTCTAAAAAAAGTATTTAACTTTTCTGGTCAGGTTTCTCAGAATTATTTTTTTTTAAGGGGAACTTCTTAAAAGATAATTTTGATACTGGTCTGTAATATATTAATACTTATTTTTAAGGATATATACAAGACAAATCTACAAATCTTCATTTTTCTTCAACCTGGCCTCTCTACTTTCCCCTGTGGCATCAACTTCCTTTCAAAAACTCTGGTTTTTTTTCTTCCAATTTATTCTGTATTCACAGGCTACTAAGGTGAAGATTAGGAATGTGAAAGAGGCAAAAAGGAATCCTGACCCAAAACAGCTTGAATCTTTGGAGTGAGTTACAGTGAGCAATAAGGCAATGATGCACAGGGCAACAGTGCTAAGACAGTCCAAACTGTTACCAAGGAAAAATGAATATAACTCCTTGGAAATAGAATATGAAGATGACTAAGGACAAAAAAAAGTGGGCAATTTAAACAGCTCCATCTCACACCTGCTATAGTATACACTGTAAAAATTTTGTTAGCAGAACCCGCAAATAATATGCAGACTGAAGAGAAACAATTGGCAAGGTGCTTTGTACCTTTGAGACTGTTTCACAACAGCAAAGACATCATATCAGAAACTGTTTTTCCATTTCTTGCTCAAACTACTAAAGCAAATCCTAAATCAAACATTGCACTGAGGTGTGTCACACAGTTAAACCAGATTCAGAAACAATATTTTAACAGAATGAAACAAATATGAAAAAAAGGAAGATGAGTATTACTTTAGTATAACAGGCAGTATATAAACAAAAATAAGTTACATTTATACAATTTTATCCCAAATAGTGGAAGTATTAGTCTGAAAGTTAAAGAATCTGTGAGTCTTCCTGATACAAATTCTTTTATTCACATGAAAGAACTTAATTTTTATATACAATATCCCATTATTTGTACTATTATTTTTGATTCAGCATTTCAGTATTTAAAATATTGCTACGTGTAAATATCACAAACATTCTCCTGGGGAAAACTCTGTCTCTCTCTCTCTCTGCATGTTTATATGCATATCCAATGACCACTGTAAAATTACGGCTGTTTCAAACATATGATACATGCACCACTAAACAAGATCAAATATTGCTGAATAAATATTAATAAAATTGCACCAACTTGTAATTTTTTATGCTCAGAAATTATCTGAGCGTGTAATGCTTAAAGAGCACTTTTCCCCTTACCAATTGTCAAATATCAAGTTTCTTCACAACTCACCCTATATAGCATATATGCAGTTCTATACACATAAAATAGAGTAGTCCTGAAATATAGTCACTTGCATAACAAATTGAAGTTTTTTAAACGTTTTCTAAACATTTAGATTGGGAAGTAAAGAATGAGAATAAATATATTCCTACGCTGACTTAAAATTTCTAAAGGTTGTACACTTGTGTTAAAAATTAATCTGCAATTGATTCTGAAAGTGAACCTCATAATCTAAACAGCTTGCTTTCACTTACAGTGCTGCAAGAAGCAGTTGCTACGGTTAACAAAACTTTCACTTCTAGAAGGACTCTAGTGTTTGCTACTGGCAAAAGACTACATGAAAAACATATATTTAGGGAGTCTTGCTAAAACTATAATTCCCTGAATCATAGGGAAAAGTCTTTTAGAAATTAAAGAAGCATGACAACTTACAAATGACAGTTTCCCACTTCACCTAAACTTCCAGCTTCTTCTTACTGAATGAACCTCAAGAAAATTATTTCTCTTAGATCCTGACAACATAAAATTAATCAAATGCCCAGCATTTTCCAGAGATAGATAAAACCCTCCTCTCCAGGTGCAAGAGAAGGTTTCACGTACCATTGACACATTCAAAGACATCACAGCACTTGCCAGGTGTTCCATCTCCACGTGAGACTATCTGGGGAACGGAGCCTGCCTCACACATGGGGAAACCACATAAACCAGTGAGACACTCGCATCTGAAACCAAAGAACAGCAAGGAAAACCCCATAAATAAATGAAGCCACATACAGGATGAAAGAATAAGCGAGAGAAAAACAGAAAGCTAGAGCACAAGTTCCAGCTTTGGCGTATTCATGTCTTAGAATCGCGTTTTATTAACTCAACAACCAAGACAGCTTATGAACCCGAAAGATTTTTTGTAACCATCCAAACTCTGTTTGCTGGTCAAGGAAACAAGAAGACGGTACTGTGCAATACCAATGCTGCTCTAGAGCTATATGTAAAAATGTAGAAAATTGTAGTTCAGATTACTTGAAAATAACTGTGTTCTCCAGAGTTGCAAAATTAGGCTTCTCATCCAATACTATCTGAAAAATCAAAATTGGTGAAACACTAACAGCAGTAATTGCATCTATTCATCAGAATAGTGTGCTCTCATTAGGAAACTATATTATATCCAGTGTTACGTTGGAAAAAATTAAAAGAAATCCAGAGCCATTAAATCTAAGCCAAATAAAAATAATTGCAAGCTCTCTTTTGGTGTTGATGGTGCTGCAGTTTGTGGAAGGGGCAACCAATTACATATGATGCCAAATAATGTAGGAGGTTAGGTATATTGCATACTGTCGTTAGTTTTGAACCATTCTAAAAGAGGTATTTTCTCCATGTAAGTAGTATTTATTTGCTTATTTAAGAAAGCAGCCTAAAGAACTGGAAGATATAAAATGTAGATAAACAGTAGTCACATTTGTTTCCAGATTCTTTGCTTTACGATTAACATAACCGTTTCAAAGTCAGACACTTAGGACTTTTGATATGTTTACATTTAACAGAGATCTTGCCCTGAACAATGGGCACACTACAGGGAAAGTAGCAATGATTCTATAATGAAGTGCAAGACAAAATGAACAAAAAGAAATATGCAAATATCATAGCTGAGAAACTTCATGGAATAGCACTTAAATTTTTCAATTACAAATCAATTTTTTTTGTAAACCCCCCCCCCCGATTGATTTAGCCTATTAGAAATACACATATATGTCAAATGGAAACAAAGAACTCAACAGAAGATCCTGTAATTATGAATTAAAGAAATAAGAACTCTATTTGCTAATAACTATTTCAAATATTTTAAGTATCCCCCATTAAACCACTTCTTAGTAAGAAGCATTATCAGCCCTTAATGCATTTGCTTATTCTTTATGCTCAAAAACCAAGAAGCTTGGGTCTCCTCTGCCATGCATGTCTCCTTAATTGCCCAGCAGCTACTTCATCTCAGATCAGTGTTCAATGAATGAGGAAAAGTCATCTCTCAACAGACAGGATTTTAATATATCTCCCTTTAACTTTATCAGTGTTAGACAAAATTGTTATATTCTCCACTGTAAGGTATTACTCAGAAGGAAGTTTGCAAGAAATACAAGTAAAATCAAGGAATCTCACAGAACTTTTCTTAAAATGTTTGAAACTGAATTCTAAATTATTGTATTACAGAAGCATGTTACTATAAAGAGATAAATAAGTCCTTGAATAAAACAGTCTTAATTGTATCATGTTTCACAAATAATGCTAAATATGTCAAGATAAAGTGAAGCAATTTAATTCTATGTGCACATACATAGTACAGTACAGTAACAGAAACCAAAGTTTTAATTATCGTATCTCTGCTTTCGACATTTTCCTCTCAACTTTTCTGTAAATACAAAGAAAGGGGAAATCTAATTATTTTCTTTACTGTATGCCGTTTGTCTTCAGAGATGTAGAAGGAAAAAAAGGCATTATGGTTTCTACTACATGTGATCAAAAAATCCAAAGGATTTGTGACAGCAGCTTCCCTTTAAGATGACTACTATGTCTCACCTTTGCTGTCCCAATAGCGCAGGAATTTGGGGGGTGGGGAAGTGGGGGAGCGGAAGTAAAAAGATGACCTCTAGTAATCAACAAAAAAGAACAATTATTACTGTCAGGTTCATGGAATTTGTACCTTAACCCATCTAGACACTGATTCGAAAGATGGTTTTCCCTTCTGAGAAGAATGAGGTACAGAAATAAGTGCCTACACATTAGTAATGAAGAAAGAAAAAAAATAATTTTTCAAAACATATGTAACATCAAAAAAAAGTACAGACACAATCTGAAAGCAGTATTAAAAGCCTAAATAAAAATACTAAGTTTCACTTCAATCACCCTATTTTCAACATCCAGATAACCTCTGGGAAAATAGGTAGATCAAATTTTCTGAAAATCCACATAGAAAATGGCACATGTGATGAAAATATAGTTGTGGACGTTGATTTTCCAAGTCTTATGAGTTGAAGAACTCTTAGTTCTATTGCCTTCAAAATAGGCTTTCTCAGACATGTCTGTATCTTCCTTATTCTTTGTCTCATATTCATTGTTCACTGATAAGAGTTCCAAGATAACATTACATGGCTAGATTAATAACTTGTACCTTTCCCCTCTCATTTTTTCCCCAGTCAATGGTTTTAAAAAAAAAACATAACCCCAAGACACACAACTGAACAACAAGAAAATATGAATCACCATGTTAAATAAAGATAGGACAATCTTCCATAAAAAAGGGCTGAAAGACATATTTAGAGGACCGGTGGGAGCCAATGTTCCCTTCTACAGCAAAGACTCCCTCCTCTTCAGAGGAATGAAATTTTCACATACTCAGCATAAGCAAACACAACCTCTTGATCCAAAATTTTATATAGTGACTTCCCATTTGGTTAAAAAATAATCCATGCATAAGAGAATGTCAAAGTAGCATATAATCTCAGATGGACTTTTAAATAGTCTGCATTCTTTTCAGCCAGCTCTGCTAGGAAAACCTTTGACCACTGTCCAAGCTATTAGCATGGAAAACATTGTTTTGGAGACAGAAGTCCGTCAGAAAGAAACCCAAGGAATTCTGGTAGCTGAGAATGGCTGTCACACTGCCAAAACAACGTCTGGAAATTTGGAATAAGTGATCCCATTTTTAGTAAGAGAGCAAGATGGGTCTTATAGAACTAGATTTTTCTGAAGTGATTTTGGGGACAGAGAGACAGATGGAAGACAAGTTTCAGTCCAGCTCTGTGCTCTGTCACAGACAGCTATCCACCTGTATCTTACCCTTGGTAAGATATATCTTACCCAAAACATTAGGTTTGAAGAAGTTTAGCAGGTCACTTTGAGTTAAGCCTGTTGACAGTGGCCATGGTCAATCTCAGATTAATTTCTATAAAATTTAGCCGTTCAAATAGCTGTTCAGTAAGGCGCAAGGTTGCTTCTAAGCTGTTCCCTCTGTAACTGCAACTTGCCTAAGGAAAACAGACACAGAAGTTGCTACAAGGAAACCTTCCCAGAGAGAAGATTGCTTCGTATGTCAAACTTCTCCCTTTATGCAGCTTGCAGTGACACCACTGCAACATCAAATGACATGGTGCCATCTAAAAGTTCAAAGATAAAAGGGAGGGCAGTACTTGAGGTACTGAGAAGTTGGCACTCAATGTCTGCCCGTCACACACCTTATTAACAAAGGCTCTAAGGAAGTGTGCCTCTTGGGATGTTATCACTGTAACAGGACTCAAGTCAAGCCAAGAAGAACATGTTCTTTTAACAAGGAAGACTAGTCCTGTACGAGAGTACAATGTTACCAATAAGAGTGCCCAGAAACTAAAAACAGAATAATCAAACAATTATGCAAGAGACTTCATGGATTGCAGCCTGAAAAGGTGGTGACATGGTCTGGAAGGAACTGAGAATCCCAAAAAAGGAGTTCATTGCACTGAAATTTTTAAAATACACAAACAACCTGACTGGTAAAAAGAATTGTCTCTAGTTCTTCAGGTCAAACAAACAAACAAAACCAAAACAAAAAACCACAAAACCAAAAACCCACCCAACAACAATAATCCTAGAAATTTCAATAACTGAGCAAGGCAAATTTCAACATACAAAGAACTAGAAATGAGACGGTGTTCATTAATGAATGCTTTACAGATTGAGGAAGGTGACTCCTTCAGTAATATAAATGGTCTGACTCTTAAATTGTTTTTATGTTTTTCAGAAGATAAATAATTTCATTACTTGTTTAATATATGTTTGAGGGGTGTCGGTGGTGGAGTTGTTTTGGTTTAGTTTTCTTTGTTGTTGTTTTTTTTTTTTTAATATAATCACTTTGCTTTTTTTTTTTTATGGTCCCAAAGTGCAAAAAGGAAAAGGAAGAAGATGGAAAAAAAAATCAAATTGAATACTTGTAAATGACAACTTTTACTTCAAATCCAATTATCTTGGTTGATTTACTTCTGTTATTAAACAGATTTAAAGAGAGAAGGGCTTGGTTAGTCTCAGAAAAGCTGTTTTGATGGTAGGATCAAAAGAGTTCTCCAGGCACAAGGCATAATGACTATGAAAATAAGAACAGACACCCTGGAAAAAAAGATTTAGTACCAGTGAATGGGAAGGTTGGGGCAGGGGTGTATTGACAAGAGAGGTATTTATTTTGAGGATCAAAACAAAATTAAAGTCTAAAGCACTGAGACTAGAGAAAAGCATTCCTGAAACATATATCACATTCATGTGGAGATTTTATCAGTCCGTTTTTTCCCCCTTTGCAGCAATCTAATATAATTTGCATTAACGTTATTAGCACTTATGTTACTGAAATGTAGTAAACTCCCACAGATCTGTTAATATAAGCACTTTAGGATACTGTGAAATAAGGAACTTTCAGAAGAGAACTCCCAGCATTATCAAAGCTCAGTAGTGGCAAAGAAAAGAGGTTAACTACAAGACCCTCCCTATCATCAAGCACAGGGTATAAGTGATGATGATACAGTAAAATGAAATACTAACACAGCAGTCTCGTGAAATCATTGAAGGCTTATTTCCAAGTTGCTCACACCTGAAGGCACAATTTAAGTTAAGTAAACTAGATGATGAACTTTACATACAGCTGGTCAAGCTACAACTTAAGGAATCAAATGAACACTAGCCTTGGAAAACAAACTCTAGAATTTTCGTAAAT